TTTGTTTGTAACATGGAGAAGGAAACGAGATAGACCCATAGTTACTTTTGAGAACCTTCATAGAATCACTTTCTGAGTTGATTTATGCATGTCAGTCCGTCTGTCCATGTATTCTTGTGAACAAAATGCAGGTCGCATTTATTATCCGATTGAGATGAAATTTTCCAAACAATATTTTTTTGGCCCAAGGATGAACCCTATTGAAATTGGTGAAATTGGTGAGAATCGGATCAAATTTTGATATAGCTCCCATATATATCTTTCATCCGATTTGATCTTTAAGTCCCTCACATTCCTACTATGCACTCCACAACCGTGATATTGGGTACCAGGTATTAGATGGAGCACAGAAATAGCTGTTTTAAATTTTATCGAAATCGGTTCAGATTTGGATATAGCTCCCATATATATCTTCATCCGATTTCGGGTTAATTGACCACCAAATGGCCAATATCAGCCCAAATGGCCCGAATTTTGGCACATGTGACCGAGATTGGCCTTAAAGCAAATACAACAAATTTGGAGAAAATCGGTTCAGATATAGCTATAGCTCCCATATATATGTTTTATCCGATTTGGTGTTTAAGCCTTTCACATTCGTAATATGCACTCCACAAGAATGATATTTGGTACCAGATATAGGATACAGCCCAGAAATAGCTGTTTGTAATTTTATCGAAATCGGTTCAGATTTGGATATAGCTCCCATATATATCTTCATCCGATTTCGGATTAATTGTGCACCAAATGGCCAATATAAGTCCAAATGGACTGAATTTTAGTACATCGTACCAAATTCAGCCTAGAAGCAAGTATATCAAATTTAGTGAAAATCGGTTCAGATATAGATATAGCAACCATATATATGTTTCATCCGATTTAGAGTTTTAGTCCCATACATTCGTAATATTCACTCCACAACCGTGATATTTGGTACCAGGTATTAGATGGAGCACAGGAATAGCTGTTTTAAATTTTATCGAAATCGGTTCAGATTTGGATATAGCTCCCATATATATCTTCATCCGATTTCAGCCCAAATCACCTGAATTTTCGTACATAAGACCGAATTCAGTCTAGAAGCTAATACGTCAAATTTGGAGAAACCCGGTTCAGAGATAGCTATAGTTCGTAAAATGCACGATAGAATTAGATAGATTGTGATTTTGTACCAAATATCTCATAGAGCTCTGAAATGCCCTGTATAAACTTTTTTACGAGAGCTCTACTAAATATACATAGTGGTGTAAGGTATCATATAGTCGGCCCCGCCCGACTTTTGAGCTTTCCTTACTGGTTTTTGTAAATATTAGTTTATGAATAAATACATTGAAAACTTTGTGGCTGAAATATTAAAAATATGGAATATCGATAAGTATCATTATTTGGGGGAAAGGCATGAAAGGCTCTCGTTCGGAATAACATTTTTATATTGGTATGGATTCATCAACATTTTCATGAAATTATGGATTTATTTGGTAGTCATTGTAGTACCTATTTAACAAGTTGAAAGACACTAAGTTCGGCCGGACCGAACTTTGAATACCCTCAAACTTTTGGAAAATATTTGGAAATTTTCAAAAATAAATAAATAAATAAAACAAATAAAAATAAATAAAAAAAAATTTGGGGTCTATACGAAGATGTGGACCTAAAATTTTCTGTCACAGGATGTAGTATCATTAGTGCAAATACGAAATTTTAACAATTCCGGTGAATAAGGTAGCTAAAATCATCAAAATACAGAATATAGAAGGTACCGATATTTAGGGGATATACGAAGATCTGCTTAGACAATTTTCTGTCAGAGGCTGTAGTTCTCATTAAGAACTTCAAATACTTAATTTGAAGCAATCCACGCGAATAAATCCTCTAAAAACATCAAAATACCGAATATCGAAGGTACCGATATTTAGGAGCTATACAAAGACCTGGACTTGCATAGAAAATTTTCTGTTATACACTGTAGTACCAATTACGAACTATCATTAAGAAGTTTGAAATCGATTTGGCATTTTATGAGCGTTTTGTTCTTCAGAGCTTTGACCTTGTTCAGGGGGTGGTGCCAGAAGGGGTAGTCCGATATATTCCATCTTCACATTTGATGAACTTCACAGTTATTTAAAATATAGACCCATTATAGGGGAAGTGCCAGAGGAAGTGGAGCGATATATCCCATCTTCACGCCGGATCTTGTGTTATCAAAAATGTGAGGATGTGCGAAATTTTGCATTTTATGACGGATATATTTATTGCAAATTTCGAACTGTTGTAGAGGAGGTACCAGAGAGAGTGGACCGATATAATTCATCTTCACATCTGATATTTTGTTTATAAAAATATTGGGATGCGCCGAGTTTGAAAATAATCGGAGGCTTTTTTCACATTTTATAGGAGTTATAATTATTAAAATGTTGACCCCTTTAGAATAGAGGTACCAGGAGAAGTGAATTTACATCTTTCATCTTCACACCTGATCTTGTTTCAGTAGAAATATTGGGATGTAAGAGATTTGAATATAATCAGATACGCATTTTATCAAAGTTATAATTATTCCAAAATCTTGAACCGTTGTGGGAGAGGTAGATGATGGAGCGGGTTAATTTTTGCACCTCACATAACACTGATACAAATATTTGGGAATTGCAATGTTTGCACAACATTTGATGATTGTTTCTTTTTCTAAACGTTGAATTATTTTTGTGAAAATATTGACCTTTTGAGTAGGAAGATACCAGAAGGAGTGGACCGATAATGCCCATACACGGGCTCGATCTAAGTTTGTTAACAATTTTACGATGTAACGAGTTTGGACCAAATCGGATACTACTTTCGAGAGTTATGGTGCGCACAAGCCAGCCAGACAGACAGGTGGACACTCCTAAATCGACTTAAATGTCCTGAAATGGATTTGTTCGAAAGAGACCTAAGGCCTTAAACCATTATTTCAATGAGGCACGATTTGACCGTAGAAGTAGTACAATTTGTACTCTAGAAGTAGTACAAATTATGAACTTTAAATTCTGTCTAAAATCGTGAAATTGCCGAATATCAGAAGGTTCTGTTATACAGGGGTTATAGGAAGATTTGGATCTATATGATCTCCAAGTACCAAATTTCAACAAATTCTGGTGAAAAATGTGGTTAAAATCGAGAAAATACCTGATGTCGTCATATAGGGGCTATAAGAAGCTGTGAACCTCTTTTCGTAATTTTATGTTGTGGCAAATATTCTGGTGAACAGTTCGACACAAATCATAATAATACCGAATATTTGGAGGTACTGTTGTATGGGGACTATACCAAATGGTGGACCTATATAGGCGGTTTTCCACAGGGATATTTCCTACATACAGAAAATACAAACTGCCAGTCAACTTGGTTTAAAATGGTTACTTCAACTACCAAAAGTACCTTAAACGTGTCGGTGCTAAAATCTTACGGACATAAAATCATCTGAGCACAATTTTAAGAACTTTCTTTATTTCGTTCGGAGAGTGATTCCACAGGCAGCCAGACTGATAGCTAGGCGGACGGACATGATTACATAGATATAGACTTTTATGCTGATCAAGAATATACAGGGTGATATGAAAATACTGCAACCAACTTCAGACTGCTGTAATTTCTAAGCCACACGTCCAACAGCTGTTAAAATTGTTTCAGGGACAGCTCATTATATTGTTTACAAGCGTACAACAGCATTTTGGTGAGAATTTTCCAGAAAAAAAATATTCGTGAAGGAGTTCAAGCGTGATAGTGTGATTTCTTTATATTTGGCAGGACAGCCACAAGTGACTATCGATAGAATAAATATCTTGTGTCTCGTAACATCGCTCGTTGCCGTGATACTGGTAGCGTAGCCCGGTGTCAAGGAAGTGGACGGAAGAAAGCAGCAACATCAGCAGAAATGGTTTGAAAGGTAAAGAAGCTACTTGATCGAAACCCGCTCGCAGTGGCCGAAAAATGGTTCGTGAGCTGCAAATATCGCAATATTCCATTGAAATTCCAAAAAGTGCAAGAACTTACATCGCAACAGAAAGAAAATAGACTCAAAAGAGCTAAAAAGTTGCTTCGCTTGGCCGAAAGTGGTGAACTGCCGAGTTTGGTTTTCTCTTTGTAAACAAACAATATTATGGTGTTTACTTGCCAAAGAGGTCACCTGAAAATGTGCACCTTCGGTTGGCTACCAGAACTCAAGCTCCGGCCATGGTGATGGTGTGGGCCGCCATAACAGCCGATGGTCGCTCTCCGCTCGATTTAATCGTCCGTGGCATCAGAAATAATGCCGAATATTATCGCAAAAATATTCTGGAGGGTGTATTGGGCTCGCAAACATTTTGGCCGCTCACCTTGGACATTCCAACAGCACTCAGCACCATCGCACTCAGCACGCGCCGACCAAGAATGATTACAAAATGAGGTACCTCGCTTCATTTCCAGCGCGCAATGGCCACTAAAATCTTCGGAAACCAATCCGTTGGACTATTGTGTCTGGAGTATTTTGGAAAGCAAGGTTGGCTTCGTCGGGAATGGGTCAAAATACCGACATTTTTTGCTTTCATTCAAAAAATTTAAGAAATTTAAAAAAAATAATGGCGTTTGACTTTTTTGCAATTTTTTTTATCTCACCCTGTATATATGCTTTGTAGAAGATATGTGGTAGAAGATATACAAATTTACACCTCCTGATTCGGTGTAGATTTTCTTAAATCTAACAAAAAATTTTAACGCAAAATTTATTTTTTGCTGTAAACAACTACGCATTGCTAAAAAAAATGTATCCCATCTTCTATATTCCACATTCTCTATTCGCAATATCATGCAGGTTTTGTATTACGGAAATATGTACAAATAACACCAGCATTGAACAATATGCACTTTCATCTCTCGAAATTTCCAATATGTTGTGCCTACTGCTCTTGACACCAACCAACAAGAACTACGACAACAATAGCAGCGCTAAAAATCACAAGAAAAGGAACTACAGATCAACTTACCTGCATGCCTGTCGGACGCAAATGTTCGTTCACCCAATTGCGAAACGTGTTCGCCTGAATTTCCACCCATAAATCCTCATTGCCGCGTATGTTCATGCCCTTGGCGGCAGTGCCCTCGGGACTGCGAGCCACCAGGCCGGCGTGTGTGATTTTTTGTGTTTCCGTTGTGCCATCGGCATTGTGTTTTAGAAGACCGGCATGGGTTATTTTGGCGCCCTTTAAATCTTTAACGTCCATGGTACCCACCATGGTGAACGAGTTACGGCGATTGTTGATGTTCTTTTCGTACAGGGATAGCTACACAAATACACGGGTATACAAAATATTCCTCTTCTTTTTGCACTTTTGGTTAAGACGTTTTGTTTTTTTTTTTTTTTTTTTTTTCAATTCGTTTAAATATTTTTTATTGTATTTCTTTCAGCAACTCAAACTAGAAAATAAAAATAATTATAGGGATCAATTTTTATTTGACAATATTGGTTTTGAATTTGTCAGACACTTCATTCGAATAACATGAATTTTTATTGCAACATTTTTTTCACAAATTAACACTTTTCAGGGTATTATATTTATGCTTTTTGTGTGTAGCTTAAACACCTCGATTTTACTTCGTTGTTTTTTTTTCAATATTTATTTCTTGTTTTCTTTTAATTCGCTTTTGCCCTTCTTTTTTGGCAGATTTATTTTTTGAATTTTATCTTTTTTTTTTTTTATTTTTTCAATTAACAAATTTCAATTTCGTTTTCGTGTTTACACATCGATCGTTTCATTCAGACTGAGCTGCCATGGCAGTACAACAAAATTCAGGTGGGTCTCTATGATATTTTGCAATCAAAAAATAACAACAAAAACAACAACAGCTCTATCAGCCGTCAACTGGCAGCCAACACAACAACAATAACGCAAATTCTACCTACAGACTTGTGGCCAAAACCGACAAAAGTCGTAGCAAACAGCGGCCACACCGCAGCCAACAACTTGTGCTCCTCACACACAAAATATGTCAGTTTTAAATCACAGCCAACAACAACAACAACAGCAACGGCCACAATAAGCCACCGTCTCTGCTGTCCAAAACACGCTTAAATTGTATACAATTCAGATTCGCTGATGACGTCAGATTTTGACAGATCATATGCGTGTGCGTGTGTGTGCATGGATGTGCGGAGCTATGGCGATTTCATTTTCAACCACATCATTTTTTTATTTGGTTTATAAATCATTTTCGCCGTTTTGGTTTTCGCTCTTTTTAAGTCATCATAAAAAACAACAACAACAACGACAACAATAAGCACTCACACAGGTATAAAAACCGACGCTTGAAATCATCACCTTGTTTTATTCTCTCACCTATAAAACGCCTGCAAAATATATAAACATTGTGGCTGGTAAAATTTGTACGTAGGCAGAACTCTCTGGTACTCTCAAGAGCATTAGCCAAGTTTGGATTTGCAAAAGCTTATGGCGCATGCGCACATTCGTTCTTGCTTGGAGAGCGAACAGTGGGCTCGAAAATTATTTGATAATCTTGTCCACCATGAATTGGTTTCGAACCCACAAATATCAATTATAAAACCAGTAAAGAAAGCCTTAAAGTCGGGCGGCGTCGAATTTATGATACACCCCTTTGCATGTTTAGTAGAGCTTTACATCAGAAATAAATGTTTTTAAGGGGAATTTGTGAGAATTAAATCATAAAAAAAAACAAATATATTAGAGAAATATCCTTCTCTAAATCGATTTCTACTAAATTTGCTGAGGCATTTGCGCCTTCTCAATTCGGTCACATATTACCCATTTGGTGCACAATTAACTTGAAATCGGACAAAGATATATATGGAAGCTAAATCTAAATCTGTACCGATCTCCGTCTAATTTGGCAAAGGTATTTCTGGAAACTGTATTTGATATATTTCCCCGAATATCGTTGTTACGCTATCCAATACCAATTTTTAGACATATTCATGGGAAATGTGCCAAAAATCATCAAAATACCGAATATCGGAAGGTACCGTTATATTGGGCCCATGCAAAAACGTGGACGTATACATACAATGTTTCGCCAAAGGAGCTAGAACCCAAATACCAATTTTTAGACAAATCCGCGAAGAAATGTGGCGAAGATCGTCAAAATACCGAATATCGGGAGGTACCGTTATATGGGAGTTATACCAAAACGGGAACCTATACATGCAATGTTTCGCCACCGGAGCTAGAACCCATTACGAACTACAAATACAAATTTTTAGACAAATCCGAGGAAAAAATGTGAGAAAACAAGTTAAAAAGCAGTAAGTTCGGCCGGGCCGAACTTTGAATATGCTCCACCTTTCGGAACGAATTTAAAAAATTTCTTAAAAATTTCTGTTAAAATTTTAAAAATAACAAATATACCCGTCTATTGGGGTCTATACGACGTGGACCTACATAGGCATTGTTTGTCATAAGCCATTACCATATTCAAACTCGAAACTTGAAATAAACAGTGAATAATGTAGCTAAAATCGCCAAAAAAATATCGCATATAAGGAGGTACCGTTATATCGGAGCTGTGCGAAGACCTGCACCTGCATAGAAAATTATCTGTCACAGGCTGTAGCATCCATTACGAACTTCAAATAACACATCTCAAACAGTTTCGATGGGTATTGAACCTAAAATCGTCAAAATACCGAATATGGGGAGGTGCTGATATATGGGGCATATACAAAGACCAGGACCTGCATAGACAATTTGCTGTCATAAACTGTAGTTCCCATTACGAACTCAAAATACGTTATTTGAAACAACTCTGGTGAATAATGACGCTAAAATCATCAAGATTCCGAATATCGGGAGGTGCCGTTATATGGGGGCTATTCGAAGACGTGCACCAGCACAGACAATTTTCTGTCATAGGCTGTAGTATCCACTACGAACATCAAATACCAAATTTGAATTAATTCCGGTAAATAATGTCGCTAAAATCAATAAAATTCCGAATATCAGGAGGTACCGTTATATGGGGGCTATACGAAGACGGGAACTTGCACAGACAATTTTCTGTCTTAGGCTGTAGTATCCATTACGAACTTCAAATACCAAATTTGAAACAATTCCGGTGAATAATGTCGCTAAAATCATCAAAATATCGAATATCGGTAGGTATCGTTATATGGGGGCTATATGAAAACGTGGACCTACATGGCCATTTACGAAGTTAACCTGCCTACTGGAAAAATAAACATGTGTGCAAAATTTTAGCCATCTATCTCAATTCATTCGAAAGATAGCGTGATTACAACAGACAGACGGACAGACAAACAGACATCGCTAAATCGACTTAGAATTTTACGCTGATCAAGAATATATATGCTTTGTTGGATCTGTTATGAGTATTTCGAGGAGTTACAAACGGAATGACAAAGTTAATATACCCTCCATAGTATGGTGGAGGGTAAAAAACACCAAAATACCGATTATCGGGAGGACCGTCATATGGAGGCTATGGCAAAGCGTGGACCTATAGATACAATGTTTCGCCACACGAACTAGGACCCTCTATGACCCACAAATACTAATTTTCCGACAAATCACTCAAAACAAGTAAGAAAACATTAATTTCTGCCAGGCCGAACTTTTAATACTTTCCACCTTAGGGTAAAGAAAACATTAGAACCGATTATGACCCACAAATACCAATTTTTAGACATATTCGTGGGAAAATGTGGCAAAAATCATCAAATACGGAATATTGGGCGGTATCGCTATATATGAAGATATTAAAAACCGTGGACCTATACATACAATGTTTCGCCAACGGAGCTAGAACCTATTATGACCAACTAATTTCAATTTTCAGACAAATCCGTGAAAAAATCTGACAAAAACCATCAAAATACCGAATATTGGGAGATACCGTTATATGGGGCTATAACACAGCGTGGATCTATACATACAATATTTAGCCACACGAACTAGGACTCATTATGACCTACAAATACCGATTCTCAGTCAAATCCGTGAAAAAATGTGGAAAAATCATCGAAAAACAAGTAAGCAAAGGCTATAGTCGTGCGGGGCCTACCATGCATGTCGATTGGCTTCAATTGTGTGATCAGGATTTTTTTTTCTGTTTTAGTTTCATTTGATCCCCTTAATATTTTGCGGTCATCTCCAAAAGCAAGAAGCCGCTCTGCATCTACAAATTTAGACCCATATATATGATTTGCTTGACTACGATATTTAGCTATATTCATCAACGATATCGGCATAAAAAAGCCAGAAGTTCGCCTTTTGTGTGTTTCGGATATAGCTTGTAAGTAATGTTTGCATTTTTTGCACACAAGAGTAGTGGTCCATTCTACCCGCTGTCCTAAACTCTGACTACATGCGAGATTTCGTGTCCTTTGGTTTGTATTTGCGACCTTATAACGGCTGTAAAATCAGGAACATTTTTAGTGGTTGGTCCATTTCAACCCCTAAATATATTGCGGTCATCTTTGAAAACAATAGCTTTTGTGAGCCTAACCCTACCCTTGCGAAAATTTTAGTGAAGATCGGACGATATTTGCAATCTGCATATAATAACACCAAACCGTGTTGTAAGGTGAAAAAATTTTACAAAATGTACACTTCAATATTATAAGTCAAATTGAAAAAATCGCATGCGATAAAAAATAAAAAAAATAAAGTAAGCAAAGGCTACAGTCGAGCGGAGCCGACCGTTGAATACCCTACAATACTATAATAATCGATGCAGTTTATATAGGCGAGATACTCGAAAGCTATTCTGACCCTCATCTTATCCCCATGCAAAATTTCGTGGGGATCGGGCCATAAATGCGATCTGTATATGATATCCTGATATCCTAACTACTTAGTTTTGTTAGCTGTAGAAATATTACCAAATGTTTAATTCAAAATGAAAATATGCCAAAAATATGACAAAATTGAAAAAATATGAGAAAATTTTACAAAATCAATATTTTCATCTTTAGAGAGATATTTTTATGCGATTTTTTAGACGTTTTTTCCTTCCTGTCAAGAGGCCATTCTGAATTAATGAGAACTATCGAAATCAGTTCAACCGTTCTTGACATATAAGAGATCTTTCAAGCATATCTTCTTTGATAGACATATATCGCACATATTTTGCTATATATCCGATTTGTTGGATGTTAACATCAATGTAAAGGTCAGAAGTAACCTTGTGATGGCTTTGTGATTTCGCCGCGATTTATTCGCGGTTTAATGAAAATTTGTTCAACATAAAAGATATGGTCTATTTTACCCTCTAAATATTATTCGATGGCCACCCAAATTGGTAGGCTTCTTCCCCGCCCTAAACTCTAGCTACATTCCGCGTCGATTGGTCTATAATTGCGACCTGTATAGCTACTGCAAAATCCGACATTTTTTCAGTATTTGGTCCATTTCAACCCCTAAACATTTGGCGATCATCTCCAAAAGAAATAGACTTCAATTCTAGCCCTAACCCCACCTTCGTGCAAAATTTCGTTAGGATCGGGCCATAATTGCGACCTGGAGCGTGATTACAAATTAACATGGACAGACGGACAGACGGACGGACGGACATACATAGCTACATCGGCTCAGCTCGGCGAGCTAGGAAGATCCATATATACTTTCCTATGTGGGAAACCAATATTTCTAGGTGTTACATAAATTCTGGCCCAATCAAACACATATTGTTTTAGGGTATAAAAAAGCCGAATATTGGGAGGTGCCGTTATATGGGGACTATACCAGAACGTGGACCGTTATATCTCATTTTCAATACCAACCATCCTAGACACAATACAAATTATTCTGCTAATTTTGTGGCCTGTATCGTGATTTCAGCAGACAGACAGACATCGTTTAATCGACTTAGAATTTTATGCTGATAATGATAGACATTATAGGGTCTATGCCGAATATTTAGGGATGTTACTAACGGAATAATAAAGTTAATATACCCTCCTTTCCAAGGTGGAGGGTATAAAAATCACCAAAACACCGAATATCCGGAGGTAACGTTATATGGGGACTATAGCAAAACGTGGACCGATATATCTAATTTTCAATACCAACCATCCTAGATACAATACAAATTGTTCTGCTAAATTTTGACGCTTTACGTCATATAATTTGGGCTAAATCGTGATTTCAACAGAGAGACAGAGAGATGGACATCGTTAAATAGACTTAGAATTTTATGC